ATCCCCCACACCCCTCTCCCCTCCTGCCTCCCTTGCTCTCCTCACCTGCCCGGGTGAGCTCTTCTCCCTCCTCCCTGGGAATAACCACCCATTGTATTTCACCAAGCATAGCGCAGGGGTGTGCTTGCCTCCCGAAAAAGCCCCCGAGAGGCCCAGGAGCGGGTGGCCCAGGCGGGGATCCCGCCGTGTGTGGGGGGATGCTGGCCGGGATGGTTCGTGTCTGGGCCCAGAGCTGGCAGCGCTGGCCTTTCCCTGCTCTTATAAGTTTTCAACACCACATGATCATGTTGGTTTTTTTTTTTTTTTTTTTTATGTAGAAGTAGCCAATGCAAACACTTGATCAGAGATGTAAGAAAAAAACAACCCTGAATGAGGTTAAAATACACCATCCTGTTACATATGAATCCATAATCTTTTAGAGGTAAAGCAGTATGACCAAAAAAGACTCAGTGCTCATTCATATCACTCAAGAAAAAAAACCTACTGAGGAATTCCCTTCATCTGTGATTTTTCCCTGCAATCTGTCTTGATTGTATACCGTCACTGGACTGCCAGTCCCTTGCTGGGCTAAAATAGTGCTTTGGAAAGAAGCTCCTTCTCTCTGCATGAAGCTGGCAGATGCCCGCTTTGAGCAGGCACTGCCTGAAGGAGAACAGCTTCATAACCTGAACAGCACAGTGTGAATTTGAGTCTTAAAATAATGATGGAATACTTCACTTTTCTGAAATGCAGGTTTCCCCACTGTTTCTTGGTATACCCGCAGCTGTCCACGTGCTTATTCTTTCCATTTCTTTAATGCTTTCCTTCATATGTGCTCCTTTTTGAGTAAAACGTAATTTTTGGAAGCCCAGCTGTGAGATCTTCAAGATCAGTTATCTCCAGTTGATTGATGCCACCTCTTACTTCCTCCTGTGTTCATGAGAACATGAGAGTAGCTGTGATCTCTCAGGTCACTGATCCATTCTCCTGTTACTGAGCACAACATCATATAATCTGGTTAACGAACTTCTCCGTGAGAAATAGTGTCACAATGTGTTTCGTCAACGTCCTGGGAAAGCATTTTAAAAAATATTGTTGTTTTCTCCTGCAAGCTTATTTCCCTCATTCCTCTTAAAAGAACTAGATAGCATCCAAAATGTCAAATATTCACTCAGTTCCCTACAGCAGGCCCCCAAAGAGGTCTCTAAAGCTCCATTGCAGCATCTATTGAGAATGACTGTCTCTGCTTTGCAAACCATCTGGTAATGAAAGTGGACGTTTTTGCATAATCACTGCAACAATCACTTCAATTTGCTTTTCATCAGCAAAGGGAAATCTGACTGTAATAAAACTCTGTCTGGAATAGTTTGTATGACTTCTTTTTGCATAAAAGGTATTGAGCATAACATTTTCTCCAGTGTTTATGTATACAGAATGTGGAATATTGTTTTCTTGCTCAAACATACCTGTTTGCGCTGGAAATACTGGCACTGAAAGATCTGCTACCAAATACATTAGTAAGCCGGCCTTTTTTTTTTTTTTTTTTTAATTTCCAGCAGATTTGCCAAATAACTTATTAGAAATGCCAATGTTTTTCATATTTTCTTTGCAGACTAAAATATTTAGTCACGGTTATTGCCATTTTTTTTCTCTTTCCTCATTTATTTCTGGTTTCTCTCCTAATTTTCTTTTTTTTTTTTTTTTTTTGTTTTCTCTATTAATGCCCAACAAGATCAAAAATGACAAAGACACTTACCTTTTCCAATATGCTTTATGTGTAGACAGGATCCTTTCTTAGATCAATATCAGTATCACCATTATATAATTCCATAAATCATGTTAGATGAAACTGTTGAAGAGAAGGGATATTTAACTTTGGTCATCTGTAAATAATATGATATACGCAAAACCAGTTTCACCTCTTTCCCAAAGGCTGTAGATATAGGAGCTACACGAATACGAGCAAGTTTGGTCTGTATTGGTACATAGTTTACCCAGCTTGTAGCAGACCAGTCCGTGTGAATATGTGCAGCCATTCCAGGACCACTAATAAAACTGAACGATTTCATAAACCTGAGAGGTTTGTCCCTGAGACAAAGAAACTATGAAAGAATACTTTTAATTAATGCACGGTAGGAACAATTTGTTTTCACAGATCTCTGTATACTTTTTACTTATTTTTCTTCAGACTTTTTTAAAGGCTTGCTAGTCTTTTTTTTTTTTGCCCTCAACAATCAAGAAAATGCCTATGCTAATTTTATAGAACCCTAGTTTTTTAATCAGTACTTCACTGTAATTCACTGCTTGTCAAGGAGAGGAAAATTCTAGTGCTTTTTTTGATGCAGTGGGCTGGAAACAAAGTAATAACATCTAGCTCAAGAGTGAGCACTGGTTCTCATTGAATTCATTTACCTTCATTATACAGAACCTTTTCACTGTTTGAAAGATTGCCTGGTGTTTAATATTACTATGTGAAAACCCTGAACCCAAGTCTCTGGTGTCTTTTGGCCACTGAAACTCCTTTGCTGGGCTGCTAATGAGCTGGTAGAGCTTAAGAAATACCCAGGATTAACTTTCATTCTAACATAAACATTTATAAGCATGAATTAGTTATGGTGTTGCCTCAAGCACTGAAAAAGTGAAAAATATCTGCCTGCTTTTAGCATACATCCTGCTTATTTTTGTACAGACTGTGCTGGCGGAAGAATATGATGACACACTGTAGCTAGTTTACTTTTTGTGAATATCTGGCATCAGGAAATAAAAAAGCATAAAGCACTCCATTGCTTGTCAACATGAATAAATCTGCAGTTTGAGCTATGCTGAAAACAATGGATGCTGGATTAATTCCTGCAAGCGTTGTATCACACTCTTATGGAAGACTCAGCAGATTTCATATGGATTTTTCTAAATGTTACAGGTGACGTGAGTGAGTTTCACAAATGATGTTTACTGTAGCAGAGTGGGCTGAAGCTGCTTGGCACACAATGTCTTTTCTAGTGGATCTTTTTTTGGTTGGTATTCCTACCAGATATTTGGTATGGTGGAACAAAAGATTTTAATGATTTTGATGATTTTATAAGTTGTTCATAAGTCAAATGGTGGAAAATGACTAAAGGGACATATGACGTCTAATGTTTCTTTCAGTCACTGAAGATCTCGTTAGAAGGCGTGCGGAGCATAACAACTGTGAA